CAGCAGCTTTCCTGATGGGTTCAGGAATACTTTGGGGTGTGTTTAGTCTTGATTCAAAAATTACACCACTGCAAGTTTCCTGGATTTAGCTAAGCCCAAAAACGAAAGTAACAGATCAAAATACCCCGAAATCAAACCCCTAGGGAGGCTTTTCAGCTCTGGCTAACACCAGGCAGCTTTGGAAGTGGCCAGAGGATGTCTGAGCTTTTGAGATTTCCATCCGCGCTTCCAAACTTCTCCCGGTTTATCCCCGCAGAACCTCGCGGCCCCGTCCTGCAAACACCAGGAGCCTCCCAAGGAAGGGATTGGGGCTCATCCTGGCCCAGCCACCTCAGAGCAGGGCGGCTGCAGCTCCAAAGGGCAGCAAATGAAGGGACAAACTCCTGCAGGGTGGGCATTCCCAGCTGGGGAATCAGGGAGCAGGGGACTGGAGAGCACAGGCAGCTCCTTCCTCCCCCAAACACTCCATGGACTGCAGGCCCCTTCCCCTTCCTGCTGGGTGCCCATGAAAATAAAAAAATGAGAAATATTTTGACATGAAAATAAAGATATGAAGGTGCCCAGGATGTCCCAAAAGGCAGCAAACAAACTCCTGCAGGGTGGCTGTGCAGGTCATTCCCAGCTGGGGAATCAGGGAGCAGGGAACTGGAGAGCACAGGCAGCTCCTTCCTCCCCCAAACACTCCATGGACTGCAGGCCCCTTCCCCTTCCTGCTGGGTGCCCATGAAAATAAAAAAATGAGAAATATTTTGACATGAAAATAAAGATATGAAGGTGCCCAGGATGTCCCAAAAGGCAGCAAACAAACTCCTGCAGGGTGGCTGTGCAGGTCATTCCCAGCTGGGGAATCAGGGAGCAGGGAACTGGAGAGCACAGGCAGCTCCTTCCTCCCCCAAACACTCCATGGACTACAGGCCCCTTCCCCTTCCTGCTGGCTGCCAGTAAAATCCAATGAAAATTTAAAAAATGAGAAATATTTTGATATGAAAATAAGGATATGAAGGTGCCGGGGATGTCAGGTGTCCCAGAGCTCTGCAGCAACCCCAGGGCTGCTCTGAAGGACACAAATCAAGGACTCCTGGCCCTTTCTGACTTTTCACAGTATCCACTCTGAAAAAAAACCCCAAAACATGAAAATGCTGAAGGTTTTTGGGTGTTCTGGGACATTCTGAGATGGGTGAATGTTCTCTCCTAGAGGGAGACCATCCCCATCCATCCTGCAGCCCCAGCTGCTCCCTGGCTGTCCCTGGTGAATTCCCTCCTCCTGCTGGCCTGAAAATGGGAGATTTCCAGCATTAACCTGGTTGAGACCACCTTGAAAGCTTCCCCTCCTCTCTCTCAGCTCCAGAGGCCTCCAGGCTTTTTCCTTTTTTAAAAAGGGAAAAACCCTCCAGGCTTTTCCCTTTTTTTAAGGCCACACAGCAGCAGCAGCAGCGTGCCTTGGGTCACCTGCAGGTTTTCCCCTGTGGGTTCTTTTTGGGTTTTAGGTTTTGCTCCCCTTTTCTGGAGCTGGGGATGAGTGGGAGCCACAAATGTGGGTCTGAAGGAAGATGTGGGGAGGGCAAGGGCAGCCAGGCTGTGTCCTGCCTCTGCTGCTCCTCCCTGGCAGAGTGCTCTGATCTGCTATCATGATCAGAGCACTCATTTTGTCCCCAGGCCATTAAATCCACCCTTAAATTCACTGCACTCTCAGAGTCCTTTCCATTTATCCAGCAATGGCCCTTTGTGCCTGCAGCACTGCACCAGCAGCTCCTGGCTGTGTTTATTCATCTGCAAACACCTCAGATCTGAGATGCAGCTTTGTCTGGCCCTATTTATCACCAAAAGCCTCTGTTTTGATGGGGTGGGGTTGTGTGAAGGAGCAGAGAGTCCTTTCAGCCTTCAGCAGAGCTGCCACTCCTCCAGCATGATCCAGGGGGGATCTCCCAGGGCAAATTCCACATTCTCCATCTGCTCCAGCAAAGGCTGAGCTGAAATATTAACGAGGAGATGTGATCCCTTCTCAGCAGAAACAATCTGGGTTTTACAGGCCAGGCAGAGGCCAGAGGAGCAGGCACAGCTCTGGGATCCATCCTCTGCTGCTGCTTTCAAGGAAAGCAGGAGCCTGGGGCAGGGCACAGGGTGTGAAACGTGCACATCTGGTGCGAAATGTGCACATCTGGTGTGTTCTGGGTGTGCTGACCACCCTCCCTCTCCCCAGGCACATCCAGAGCAGAGGCAGGAGCCTGCTCTAACATCCACAACCATAACATGGCAATAAAGATTAATGAGCAAAAATTGCCATTTTATGTCTAATCCGTGGGGATTTGTGCTCATTAATCTTTACTAGTGTGTAACAACTGTTTAGACACTCAGGACAGATTCTCAGCTGGACCAAACTGGCTCTGTTCCAGTGGAGCAGTGCCAGTTTACACCCTCCATGACCCCAGCTCACCATGAGCCATCCCATCTGCAGCAACCACAGCCCTGACAGTATTTCCCCAGCAGCAGGGGCACACAAGTGAAGGCAACTATTTGTCTTTCCCTGCATCCCAAAAAAAGAGAGCTGCATGTGTCCAGGAAGCTCAACAATAGACATGTCAATAAACACCAGGAAATGCAGTGAAAAAGCAACAGCAACAAAAGGAACCCCAAGGAGCAGGGAAGTGGATGGTTTCAGAGGCAAGAATATAAGATCTGGTTTGGCAGGAGCAGAACTAAGAGGGATCTTTGGCATGTGAAAGAGTGAAAGCACCAAGACAGGCTCCCAGAGTTCCTCTAACAGGAACAAGATGAAAAAAGGAAAAAAAAATTAAAAAAGGAGCATCTTGGCTGGTTTTTGGGGGGTTGTTTTGAATTAAAAAGATTTATTAAACACGGGAGCTGGTGGGAACCTTGTCTGAAGCACACCAGAGCAGCCACTGGAGCAATGCTGTGTTGACCAAGCAGGATTTCCTCTTCCAGAATGTGGAGGGAAGAAGGGAAATGTGCAGGTACACAGCAGCATGGAGAAATCCCAGCTGAGGCTGTGTCCTCAGCCCCTTCCCACCTGGACAAGGAGCAGCAGGGCTGAGAATTGAGATTTTTTAGAGATTTTTTTCAAGTAGGGACCCACCAACTCCTTCCTGTGTCACACACCTGCCTCCAGACATGAAGTTTCACCTCTTTAACAAGTCAGAGTTGCCTCTTTGTCAGCAGTAAGCTCATCAAAAGCCAGGGGAAAGCAGAGAAATACAGTACAGAGATATCTGTGTCAAGGTTTGTCCACCTGGAAGAACTCCAGGAGAGATGGGCATTGCACCCAGTGCAGCAGCATGGACCTGGTGCTTCGAAACAGCAACCAGAAAATGCCCTCCAGCTCCTTTTTTCAGATTTAAGGGTCCAAAGGAGACCCAGAAAACATCTTTGCTACCAGAGACACTTCAGAGCTCCACCATGGCAGGGCCTGCAGCATCCTGGAGACTGCAGGGGCAGTGCAGTGGGAGGAAGAGGAGGAGGAGGAGGGACATCACACCTGGGGTCCCTGTGGCAGCCTGGAGAGAACTCCCTGACCTGCAAACCCACCCAGAGCTGGGCCTGAGCCCCCACAGCTTTGCTCTCCCTCTGCTCCCTGAATCCCTTGGGGGTTCTTTCAGATTTATGGCATTTTGAGAGCTGCTCCTCTAAAAATCCCAGTTTGGGGCAGTCCCAAACCCTGTGCTGTGTGAACACAGAAAATCTTTGTGAAGAACATCCCCAACCCTCCATCCCTGTGCTGTGTGAACACACAACACTTTGTGAAGAACATCCCTAATCCTCCATCCCTGGGCTGTTCAGGAAAGGTTTCCTTGGCCAAACAAAGACCTGAGCAGCAACCAAAGGCTTTTCACCTTCACAGAGGTGCCAATTAAACAGCAGAGAGAAGAGCCTGACCCATCCTGCAGCTCTTTTGAGGCACACAGGAGTCCCTGGCTCTCCTCCCTGAGCTGAAGAGGAATTCCTGGCTCAGGCCAAGCTTTGTGCCCACCACAGGGATGCAGGGACAGTTTTGTGCCCACCACAGGGATGCAGACACAGCTTTGTGCCCACCACAGGGATGGAGGGACAGCTTTGTGCCCACCACAAGGATGCAGGGACAGCTTTGTGCCCACCACAGGGATGCAGGGACAGCTCTGTCCCCACCACAGGGATGCAGGGACAGCTCTGTCCCCACCACAGGGATGCAGGGACAGCTCTGTGCCCACCACAGGGATGCAGGGACAGCTCTGTGCCCACCACAGGGATGCAGGGACAGCTCTGTGCCCACCGCAGGGATGCAGGGACAGCTCTGTGCCCACCACAGGGATGCAGGGACAGCTCCCCTCACCTCTCACAGCACCTCCCACCCTCAGACAGCTCCACACTTTCTCTGGCCTCACACAAACCACTTGAAAAAGAGCAAAGTCATGGAGAAGGAGCAGGGAAGGGAACAGATTGCTGAGTGCCCTGTTGTAATGTCATTAAACCAAGGGATTAGAGCAGAAAGCAGAAAGCAGGGCCTGTGTGGAGGCAGGAGGAACCTTTCAGAGGGTTACAGACAACACTGCCATTAATTCTCCATTGGAAAACGCTGGTGACATTAATATCTGCTATTAATACTGAGCCCTGACAGTGTCTCATAAATTCAACCTGTCAATTGCCATGGCACTGAAATGAAGGTGCTCTGAGGTCAAGGAGATGTGGTGTCCAAATGAGACTTATATTGCAGGGGGAAAGCAGCAAAAACAATCTTGAACAAAAGCATCAGATCCATATGTAGGAAAACCAAAGGGTGGTTTTAAATGTCATGTTTTTCAAAGTGAGAATTGATGCTGGAACCAAGTCTATAAACTGGCTGGCTGGACTTTCAGCTGCAGCTGAGGACAATCAATCAAAACAGCTCTGTGACTCTGAGAAAGTGAGAGAGAGCAAAAACACACACACACACCATGGAATATGAGAGGGCAGATCACGAGCCAGGCCAGGCCTCTTAAAATTACACAGAAGTAAAACATCCTCGTGTTTCACCCGCCACAAAATGTAACCTGAAAGGTTCCCCTGGGCTCAGGGTGAGACTGGAGCTTGTCCTTCCCCGAGGGCTGGGCAGGGCTGAGCAAGGGGAACCTCCTCCTCCTCCTCCTCCTCCTCCCCAAAGCCCCAGTGACCTGGGAATGGCACCCTGATTGTGCCAGCCCTCTGCGAGCCCCTGCTCTGCACCAGCAGCGAGAAATCACAGAAACGATGCCCTGCCTGTTAGTGACAGTGCCAGCCCAGGCACCCAGCCTGAGGTGACAGTGACAGTGCCAGCCCAGCCTGTGGTGGCAGCGGCAGTGACAGTGGCAGCCCAGGCACTGGCAGTGTCACTGTGTGCCTCTCTGAAGGGTTGGCCCGTCCCCACACCACAGCCCTGCAGGGGAACTGAACGCTGCCCTGACAGAGGATTCCTTCCCAAAATCCACTCAGACTGTTCCAGCCTGCACCAGCAGAGAATGGAGCTGCTACCCTGGCAGAGAGGGTGAAATGACACCTGCACAGGGTCAGTGACATTGTGAACAGGTTCAGTGACACCTGCACAGGTTCAATGACACTTGCACACATTCAGTGACACCTGCACACATTCAGTGACACCTGCACACGTTTTCAGTGACACCTGGGCAGGGTCAGTGACACCTGCACACATTCAGTGACATCCTGCATAGGGCCAGTGACATCTGCACAGGGCCAGTGACATCCTGAACAGGTTCAGTGACACCTGCAGAGGTTCAGCACTGCAGAGCAGGGTTCAGTGACATTGTGCACAGGTTCAGTGACACTGTGCACAGGTTCAGCACTGCAGAGCAGGGTTAAATGACACCTGCACAGGCTCAGTGACATTGTGCACAGGTTCAGTGACACTGTGCACAGGTTCAGCACTGCAGGGCAGGGCTCCATGACACCCTGCACAGCTCCACCACTGCAGGGNCTCAGACTGTTCCAGCCTGCACCAGCAGAGAATGGAGCTGCTACCCTGGCAGAGAGGGTGAAATGACACCTGCACAGGGTCAGTGACACCTGCACAGGGTCAGTGACATTCTGTACATGTTCAGTGACACCTGCACAGGTTCAATGACACCTGCACACATTCAGTGACATCCTGCATAGGGCCAGTGACATCTGCACAGGGCCAGTGACATCCTGAACAGGTTCAGTGACACCTGCACAGGCTCAGTGACATTGTGCACAGGTTCAGCACTGCAGGGCAAGGCTCCATGACACCCTGCACAGTTCCACCACTGCAGGGCAGGGTGTGTTTCTGCTCACACCTGGCTCTGAGGGCTGTGCCCCAGCCAGGGTGGGGACGGAAGCGCGTGCAGGGGCTCGAGGCACTTGTGCAGCCCCCCAGATGCACAGGCAGGCCCCACTGCAGGGCTGGGGAAGGAGCCAGGGCAAAGGCAGAGGGGCTCAGGCAGCTGTGGCTCAAAGCAGCGTTAACCTGGAGCCAGCACCTCACTCCAGGCTCAGCAACACTCACAGTGCCCCCTGCTCCACACGGTGACTGACCCCAGGGCAGAGGCAGCTCCAGCTCCTCTCCACCTCAGCAGCCTCCTCCTCCTGGCCCTGGCTTGCAGCAGGGACCTGGCCAGCAGCAGGGAGCTCCTGGGCAGGGTGGGCTGTGGTGTCCCTGTGTGGTTTCCCAGGCTGCAGCTCCCTTGTGCAGCCAGGGCAGAGCCCAGAGCTGCTGTAGAGCCCATTGCTGCTGTAGAGCCCATCTGGGGCTGGACACAGCCCAATGCAGGTGCCAGCAGGGGCTCCTGGCAGCGCTGGCATTCCCAGACCCCGTGGGCAAGCAGGGAGGGATTGCTGCCAAAGCAGTGCCAGGAGCCCTGGAAAGCAGCACTGAACCCCCCCATTCTTTGGGGGTGTCGCACCCTGCACCCTGTGACCCTGTCCCACCCCCAGAGTTCAGAGGAGCTCCCACTGAGGCCCAAAGCAGCTCATCCCCAGCCCAAGGGAGCCTCGGGCACTGCAACGCTGCTGGGCAGGCGGGCACGGCCCAGGGCAGCCTCCTCCTCCTCCTCCTCCTCCTCCTCCTCTTTGTGCAACTTCTCCGACAGCCTCCTTCCTTCCTCCCCTCCTCTTGTCCCAGACACTGTTCCAGGCACTCCCAGAGCTCCCAGCCGGCCTCCCCAGCAGGGCAGGGCTGGGACGGGGCTGGAAGCACCAGCTGGACTCGTGTGTGTGTCTGCAGGTGACACAGGGGACACAGGAGGTGACACAGGGGACTCCAGGGCCTTCCTCCCTGGCACAGCTCGAGCAGCTGAGCTGCAGGTCTTGCTCATCAATTCCTTTTATGATGCACATTAAATATACTCCACAACAGGGACATTCTCCTCTGCTCTCTCCTCTCCTCGGACACCTCTTCCCCAGCAAAGCCCCCACAAGTGCTGCTTGCTGTGGCCTCATTTTGCATCACCATCATCATCATCATCATCATCACCACGCACTCATCCTCATATAAAACAGAAATCTATTCCATCAAGCACTTAACATAAATATTAAAATAATGGAAGGGACAAAATATAAATCTACATACAACTTCATGACTACCATAGCACCTATTACCATGACAAAGCAAATTCTGGTTCAGGGGGAAGGGAAGGGGGATGAGGAGCAAGTTAGGAAGAGGAACCTCATTAAATATGTAAATCACTCATTCAAAAAAAAATTTTTGTTGTTGTTGTTTTGTTTTGTTTTTTGTTTTAAGGTTACCAACCTCATTAAAATTCATTCCCACTAACCAGCTCGTTCTATGTCACTATGGATACCAAAGAACCCTTTCAAAAAACTCAGGCAGGGCGGGGGTTTCTCAGAATAAAACCAAACCAAAGCAAAACAAACCCACTTTCTGTTGGTGCTTCCATGACAAGTCCTGCCACGTGGCCCTCCCCTGCACCCACCAGTCCACAGAAGGGCAATTCTTCCCCAAGTCCAGTTCTCAGTCTCCCAGGATGAGCTTGACAAAAGAGGCGACGTCTGTCTCTTTGGATTCGTGCAGGGTGAAGAAAGGATGTTGCTGGGAAAGCAAAGAGAGAGAAAAAAAAA